GGTGGGATTGAAGTTAGGCATTGGCTATGATGATGAGAAAAAAAATAAGGTTTTTCATATAATATTGGAGCTAACATTTCACCTGATTATCATACCTAAAATGTGAATGTAGCATAAACATCTCCAATTAATTTTAAGCCAAACAAAGCAGATTAGAGATATATTATTACAGTACCATCCACCATTACCGCAAAAAACATTGACTGGTTGCTCAGAGTCTGTCAGAAGTAGATATGAGTCCAGAATATTATATACACTTTATCAAAATCCGCAGTTAGATATGTTCAAAATTTCAGATAAAATATAGTCTAGATCACTCCTGGCATTGATTTCTATCTCTTTGTGAAGTTTCATTACAATAGGTTCAGCCATTCTGAAGATCAGCCTTATTTCTATATTAAAGACAGACACTTTAATTTTATTTTAATATATAGTGTTAGATCAAACTAGGGCTGATGTACATGCAAAGGTAAAACCTTTTGATAGCGTCATAAACAGAGCGGAATAAAAGTCTAAAGTGCGCGCTTTTGCTTTACGTGTATTTTCCCATAGACAATTTAGTTTTTGGTTATTTTTTAATATCTTTTAGACAAATTCGGATTTTTATTGTATACAAACCTAGTCTGCGTTGAGCTACAATGTAAATAGGCCTACAGGTTACGGAAAGATAGATTTTAAAGAATCTTTTTCTTGCGCCTTGGGAGCTCCGCTCCAATAAAAAACTGTAATTTATGTAAATATGTGTATTGTGCTAGGTAGCAAAACTAATGACAAACTGGTTGACTTAACTAACATTACTTAATAATGTTTTGCAAGTACCTACATTCATAACTGTTTATGACAATCTATTATATAACATATAGCATAATTTTAGAAATAAAAAGAATACTGTAACTCTCGAAATTCTAGTAAACCTTTCATCTTCCAGGTTGACAAAATGGCGAAACAAATGTCGTTAGAATCTCAATTATCAGATGCGAAACTTCAAAAAGCATCTCTAGAGCATCAGGCAGAAAAAGAACGACTCATGGCTGAGATGGAGCAAATCAAAGTAACACTCACTCAGTACAGGGCCAAAGTCATGGAGCTGCAGGCTAATGAAACCGCATTGAAGGGCCAGTTGGCCATCTACACTGACAAATATGATGAGTTCCAGAATGCCTTGGTGAAAAGCAATCAGGTGTTTGGTGGATTCAAAGAACAGATGGAGAAGGTGAGCTAAATAGAATTGTTGTAAAAAGCTATTTCATTAACAGATGGTAAAAATCCTATAAAAAACCTGTCCAATGTATATTACTGTTTTTTATGATTATGTTTTAACGGTAGTAGAGCCACGCGGCAGCTTTGGTGTTACACATATGAGCCCGCTCAAACCGGGGTAGTACCACGACCTCACAGAATACCGGCGTGAAGTGGAAGCTCTGCTTCCGCTTTTCCTCTGGTGAGTGCAGGTGGCCGGAGGCCTGGCCTTAAATCCCCCCCCCGTCATCAACATCTACCATGTTGATTCGGAATTAAATGTTAGACTACCCCAGGAGGGTACCAGCACCCCTGGAGAACTCCTCGCTGAGCGTCCACTACCAAGTTACTCCACTTCTGAGCACTCAGGCTGCTTGCGTATTCTAGGGGGGGGGGCGCAAAATTCCGCTCAAGACTACAACTGCTCCGGGCAAATGGAGCAACAAGACCAAGGTGACCCATGCCACGCTATCCGTGAATTTCTGCAATCTCAGGGGACTTCACTCTAACCTAAACGCCGTCCACTACCATCTCGAGACGGCGAGGCCGGCCCTGCTCTTTCTGACCGAGATCATGCGAGGAGATCTGTTTATGATTTTGTCTTGGTATATGGTCTGACACAACTGGTTACTTTGCCTACGCGGATTCCAGATGTGGAGGATCATGCACCTTTCCTGTTGGACCTTCTGACCTCTCACCCGGACGGATATCGGATTTCCGTTGACGCCCCTTTAGGTTCCTGGACCATTGTCTTGTCCGGAGTGTGGTGCCACTCACGCTGAAACCGCAGTTGCACTCTACAGGCTGCCGCCGTATTTAGCACTATAGGTCAGCCGATTGGAATAGGATGCGGTCTTTCTTTGCATCCTACCCTTGGGCGGGTTTGCTTCTCGCCGGACGATCCCAACGTTGTTGCGGATTCGTCGCTGATGTGGTACTTCTGGGTATGGAACTTTTTATTTCTTTCTCTGTGGTGCCCATCGGAGGCAAATCTCAGCCATGGTTTGGTCGCTGCTGTAAAATAGCATCATGCTATAAGCAGGAGTGCTACCAAGCCTAGGCTGACGCATTAACGTCCCAGAGCACATAGGCAGAATTGGCGAGAAATTAGTTCGCTTTCCTTCTGGAACCCATGCATTTTGGTCTCTCGCCAAGGCTGTCCAGGGGAATTTTTGTCAGCCATCTCTTCCATCTCTACACCGGGAGGACGACTCACTGACCTATGATGCAAAGAAGAAAGCCGATCTGCTAGGCTCTTTCTTGGCATGCAACTCGACTCTTGATGATGAGGGGAGTACGCTGCCGACCATCCCACGGTTTGAGTGCTCCACGACGGAAGTGCAGTTCACACAGCACTCGGTTCGCAAAGCACTCCTCTACCTGGACATCCACAAGTCGAGTGGGCCTGACGAAATCCCCCCAATTGTGCTGAGGACGTGTGCTCCGGAGTTGGCACCGGTTTTAACGCGTCTTTTCCGTTTCTCCTACTCCCTAGGCGTAGTTCCAAAATCATTGAAGGCTTTCGTCCACCCGATCGCTAAAAAAGGCGACCGCTCAGACTCGTCCAACTACTTACCTATCGCCATCACATCCTTGTTCTTCAAAACAATGGAGTCCATTGTAAACTGCCAGCTCATGAGGTACCTTGAGGATCACCAGCTGATTAGTGATCGCCAATACGGTACTCATATATAAACGGAGACAGTAGAGTCCAAGGGGGAGGCATTGGCCGTTAGTTTGGACGTTGCAAAGGCCTTCGATCGGGTTTGGCACAAAGCGCTTTTCTCGAAGCTCCCTTCCTATGGGCTTCCCGAGAAATTGTGCAATTGGATCACCAGCTTTCTTGCAGATCGGAGCATCAAGGTCGTTATAGACGGTGCAAGCTCCGATTACAAGCCTATTAATGCTGATGTTCCACAAGGCTGCGTACTATCGCCAACGCGTACTATCTTCTGCATTGCAATGTATCATGCATTATTTCTGCATGATACATTGCAAACCCGTTATATTCATTGCTATGCAGATGACAGCACTGGTGATGCTCTGTACACCGGCCGTGCCAATATTTCTCGCGAAAACGTCTCCGAGTACCAGGACAAACTTATGTCTGTAGTCGAGTCTTTGCTGAACAAGGTCTCGGATTGGGGGCGACTATATCTAGTCCAGTTTAACCCTCAGAAGATACAAGTTTGTGTGTTAACCGCTAGAAAGAACCCCTTTGTCGTATCTCCTCAGTTTCAAGGCACTCCCCTTGTTGCCTCAGCCAGTATCGGAATCCTCGACATATCGAGTGACGTGCAGTTTCGTGGTCATTTGGAAGAGAAGGCCAAGTTGGCCTCTAAAAAGCTTGTGCTCAGCAGAGCGGAACAGTATTTCATGCCGGCACACCGCCTGCAACTTTACAAGGCGCAGGTTCGGCCGCACATGGAATACTGTTCCCATCTCTGGGCTGGAGCTCCCCAGTACCAGCTCCTTCCACTTGATCGCATCCAGCGCAGAGCGGCTCGAATCGTCGACGACCGAGTGCTTTCCGATCGGCTCGATTCACTGGCGCTACGAAGAGACGTTGCATTTCTTTGCATTTTTTTTTCGCATATACAATGGGGAGTGCTCTGAGGTATTGTTCGGATTAATCCCAGCCGCCAAATTTAGTGAACGCACTACGCGGCAAACGTCCTGATACCATCTACACCATCTGGATGCTTGGCGTTCCACCACTGTATGTTTCATAAGGAGTTTTCTTCCGCGTACGACCTCTCTGTGGAATAGTTTACTACCGGCGATTTTTCCGGACTGATACGACCGAGGGACCTTCAAGAAAAGAGCTTACTCCTTTCTAAAGGACCGGCAACGCACCTGCAATTCCTCTGGTGTTGCGGTTGATCATGGGCGGCGGTAGTCACTTAACATCAGGTGAGCCGCATGCTCGTTTGCCCCCTCTTCTATAAAAAAAGTTCATATATACTTTTCGGAGTAATTAAAAAAGTATCATGCAAAAAAAATAGTTGAATGGGAAATTTACATAGTAATAAATGCGCCGCGGCAATACACATTCAATGATACTGACGACGGTGTTGCCCGATTTAAAAAATTAGCTAAATTTTAAACAAATTGTAGTAAAATATGTTCTATTGACAAGTATTGGGTGACATTGCAGACACTGATATTGTAAGATACGATGATTGTATGTCCTTTATGTTGTTGTTGTACAAGTGTATTTGTAACAGTGGATTTTTTGTTTTCAGTTTTAAATTCCGTCCTTTACTACCTGTGAAGGCAGCTCACACAGATACTATCCTGATTGCAACATGTTTTTAAACAAATTTCATTTTATCTAACATTTTCATATTCATCTTCTTTCTTTCTTTTATGAAAATATATTTTAAGTTTTGTTTGGTAATGCCATTGCAGTACCATACTGGTGTGTCTGTTAATGATTGTGTAATTTTTTATGACTTGACCATTTGAAATCATATTCATGTAATATATTACGTAAATATGACTATTTTGTCTAGATGATGGTTCAAATTTACACATATTCACAATTTTTAATGCCTTAAAAGAAATACAAAAACTGAACCCGAAAAAATTATGTTTATACTAAAAGGTCCGGAGAGAATTCGGGGTGTAACTCATTGCGCCATCTACAAGAAAGGACAGAATGTCTGCCAAAACAGTCATACAATTTATTGTGTGGAACCCGGTGCCATCCTGTAATTGTGACGTCGCAGCTTTTTTAACGCTACAAATATTTATTACAGATGTCAAAAAAGATTCAGAAGTTGGAGAAGGAATCTCTGTCATGGAAGAAGAAATGGGAGACATCACAGACAGCTTTATTGGATATGTGTGGAGAACGGCAGGCCAGTGAGGAGCGAGCAGCTGCAACCGTGAGACAGCTGCATCATATGCAGAGCTTGTGTCGGACGTTGCAGGTATGATTTTGTACAGTTTTTTTTAAATAATACATCAACATTTATCCTCAATTAAGAATCAAAATGCGGATGCGTTTATCACCCCTGAAGACTAAGATGGAATACCTTGTTTCTAGTAAAAGGCGTTGTTGTGCTTGTTTGTTACCTTTATTCTATAAAAAAACATTCTGTAAATACTAGGAACAAGCACAAGCTAGTTTTACCAGTTACTTAACTCTAAACAGTTAGTAATTCCACCATAGTACAAAGTATATGCTTTAAAAACAAGTACCAGACAATATTGAGGACCTAACTATTAAGAAGTTTTTATTAAGCTAAAATTGTTTAATAAGTGTTATTATGTTACTATTGCATATGATTGATGATAACCCCGGGGGATTGAAGTGATTGTTACCTGCTGTTTCTAATGTCTTCATACCAATTGTATAGAATAACATATTGTTAATTGATTTTATTTAAAAAAGTCCTGCTGAGTTTCTTGCTGGTTCTTCTGAGTACAGAGGTTTTTCCAAAACAACGGTTAAAGTAAAAAATGGCTTTCAATAGGTATCCTTGTAATCTATATTGAATAAAAAAAATATATTCTATTCCACAGACCGATTTCCGTTCTGAGCCGCGCCTACGTGCTGTTTTCGGGAGTCATTACAAAACGTCTCCCACACAGACTCTCTTACTTCCAGCCTTACGAACACACTGATTTCCGAAAAGACTTTAGCGCCAAGTGGTCCACTTACATACCCTTCGGCAAATTGTATAAAAGACCGAAGATATATGCAATATATATACAATCTGCCACTTTGTGTTACATATGTGGACTATGGGAAAGACTTTGATTTCGTCTAAATTTGGTGGTGCAATAGTCCCTTGAGCGGTGCCACGGTATGTCGAAGTGTTGAAGTGTTTGTACAGTATGGCTACGATGGCTATCTGAGTACAGAACTAGACTACAAAACCTATCCAATTGTAGAGAGGTGTAAGACAGGGTAACGTTATATCCCCGAAACTCTTCACCGCATATTGGAAGAAGTTTTCAAGGTACTGGACTGGAAGAATACATATTAACCATCAATTGCGAGTTCCTCACTCACCTACGATTTGCCGACATTATAGTCCTTATGGCATGAATTAGTAAGCTGAAGTGGCAATGGGCAATCCATGTAGCTCAAAGAACCTACAACCGATGTGGACGAAAGGTTCTGGAGTGGCAGCCTCGTACTGGTAGAAGTGTAAGGCAGTCCCCCGTCAGATGGAGTGATGACCTATTAAGATAGTAGGAAATCGATGGATGCAGGTGGCTCAGGACCCTGCTTTGTGGTTTTTCTTGGTGGAGGCCTCAGCAGTGGACTTGGGAGAAGGGTTTTATGATGAATGGTGATGATAAACAATTTTTGATGTTGCGAATTCTATATCTTTATTTTAATTTAAAGCAAATGCTTTCTAGATCTTTTAAAGATTCACTTATTTCTAATTACAAATTACTTAACTCATATATATTGACAGTAGTCTATGTCAAGGTTCGTTCGGTTAAGGACCTTAACTGAAGAGCATGTATTCGTAGAGGTATATGGATGTGGAGGAGGCGAGAGAGGTATGTCAGGATCATACTAAATGGAAGTCTGTAGTCTCTGCCTACCCCTCTGGGTGACAGGCGTGAGTGTTTGTGTATGTATGCTATGTATATGTTTATGTCATATACTCTGTCTGGGACATCATGCAATGCTTTGACTCTATAATTACTGGGCACTGCATAATTCTTATGCAGCCCCCTTTAGGTACAAATCCTAACGACCTTCAGGTCTTGTGGTTGCATAACTACTTTTTGTGAGTCAATATTATTATTTTTTTCTCTTTATTTGGATCACCAACAGATGATACACAATACTATCAAAAATATAATTCAACGCGGCGACTATATGCTACGTGTTTATCTTCTTACAGGTAACCACAACTTACATAAAAAGCGAAGTAATTTTTTTTAAAGATATGGAAACATAATAATACAGATAACAATAATATGCTAATAAGTATACATAAATAAGCAGATTTGCTATAGCTACTGTTTGTGGATTTAATGCTTAGAGTCTATACAATATTAATAATAATAACAATAAATCTACTAATTTTAATGCATATTTCAATTTTTTTTTTTGGATCAAATGCTTAAATCTAGCCAACGGTGTATACATTATGTCTATTTCCATTGAATTTGGTATATGGTTGTATAATGACATCATTCTGATAAGTGGGGAGTTGCGACCTAAATTACTTTTACAGAGACGTTCTTTGAACAGCTTGTAAACCTTAAAGCGCTTAACTTATTTGGTACAGATATATTAATTTTACTTAAAAGTTGCGCACAGTCTATATGGTTATTCAATAATTTATGCAAAAATACAAGATCCAGTGTTTTCCTTCTATTTTTGAGAGTTATCATTTTAAAATATTTAAGTTTGTCATCATATGAATTTAATAAATGTGATTTCTTTATGTGGTGACATAAAAAGCACAAAAATCGCTTTTGAATTTTTTCAATACGGTTCTTGTGTACTTCGTAAAATGGATTCCAGACTTGAGGACAGTATTCCAGAACACTCCTCACCAATGTATTATATTATAGCAATATAATAGTTTTAGGGTACTTAAATTGTTTAGAATACCGCATAATAAAACCTAACATTCTGGAGGACCTCCTTATGATATCATCTAGGTGATTATTAAATCTTAATCTGCTGTCAATCATAATACCAAGATCTCGAATAATATCAAGGAAGTGTGTTATTTATCTTACTTACTTATCTTCACGCACAATCCCTAACGGGGTAGCCAGAGAGAACAGATCGCCAAGTGTCACGATCCTTACATACCTCTTTCGCATCTTTCAAGTTCATTATCTTCTTCATACATGCACGTCTAGGTATCCGATCCCTCTTCGATTAATTTGCTCACATGCTCTTCGAAAGTTGGTGTCGGTCTACCTCGACACCTTTTAATATTTACTTTCGCGCTATATATTTTCTTCACCATTCGGTCTTCACTCATTCGCTCAACGTGCCCAAACCATCGGAGTACGCCCCTATCAATTTTTGTGATAAGGTCATCTTTCAATCCTGCCATATTGCGAATCTCTTCGTTTCGCTTTCGGTCGGCTATGGTAACGCCGCACATTTTACGAAGAGATCGCATCTCCACTGCATTCAACTTGCTTTTATGCTTCTTCTGGCATACCCAGGTTTCGCTGCCATATAACAAAGTCGGTACCAACACTGCGTGATGTATTGCAAGGCGTGCACTCTTCACTACGCCTTGCCTTTTGACTAACGCATTCAGGGCACCATTGACTTTGTTCCCGGCAGCGACACGCCTGTCCACATCTAAATCACATCTTCCATCCCGGCTGAAATCACTCCCCAAGTATATACAATTTCAAATTTCAAATTCAAATTCAAATTCATTTATTTATTTGTGAATACAGTAAGTTAGGTGTTATAAAAATTTACAGTAGGTACCGTGTATTCTACCACAGTGTGGTGTACAAATATATTTCTTCACGTTATAGCCAATAACAGCAAAATGGAATACTTTTAAAATTGATTGCAAATTATAAAAATACAATAATCATATTTGTAGGTGGTATTAAATATTCACAAAAATGTTATATATTATAAGTGAAAAACGTCTTGCAATGATACCCATGACACATAACACATTTCGTAATGGCGCCTTTACGTCTATATTGAAAAAAAAAGAAAAAGGTGAAGTAAATAAAAATGTCATCTTTTCAAATTATTATTACTATTATTAAATACACGAGTCAACAATAAATACTGCATCTTAAGCTAATGTCACGTAAGTAAACTATATATATATATATATATATATATATATATATATATATATATATATATATATATATATATATATAAAAAAAAAGAAATCAAAAATGTCGATGTCATCGGCTCAGACAAAATAAATATTTTGTCTGAGGTCATCGGGTTATCATAATATCATGTCAAATGTATAATATGTGGTATGTCAAATCAAATATAAATATTATACTATTATGTATACCAAAACAATCATTTAATTTCTATGTCATTAAGGTATTCATTAATAGAATAGTAAGATTTAGTAATTAATAATGTTTTTAATGATTTTTTGAAGCTTTGTATATTATTTATTTTCTTTATGTCATTAGGTATTTTATTATATATAGGTATGGATAGGCAAAATATACTTTTTTCGCATTATTGCTGACTTTGATTGTCGAACTTTTAATCTCAGAGGATACCTTCTATTATTTAAATTTTCAAACAGTGGCAGGTTTCTATGGACAAACACAGCCGTCTCATAGATAAAAAAGACAGGGAAAAGTTAGAATTTGCAGCTCTTTAAAATGTGGTTTACAGCTGTCTGTCCAGTGTAGATTTTTGATTGTTCGAATACACCTTTTTTGAGCTTTGAATACCTTTTCCCGATCCACTGAGTTTCCCCAAAACATTACACCATACCTAAGTGTTGACTCAACGTATCCAAAATATGCTATACGAATTGTTTGCGTATTTGCTCTTTTATTTAACTTATACAAGGCATATGAAAATTTATATAATTTACTGCAAACACTATCGACCTGTGCCTTCCAGTTCAGTTGGTTATCAATGATAATTCCTAAAAATTTAGTTTCTATCGTTTCATAGATTGGTGAACCTTTATAATTAATATTAAAACTTGATAAACTATCTTTTTGCCGATTAAATTTCATAATTTTAGTTTTTTCTAAATTTATATGTAAGTTATTTTTTACGAGCCAATCAATTATAAGACCAATGGAATTGTTAATCTCAATTTCATAGCTTTGGGTATTATTGCCTTCATAAACGACCGTACAATCATCCGCAAAAAGGACCATAGATTGTTGTATCACCGATGGAAGGTCATTAATGTACAAAAGAAACAGGAGTGGACCCAAAACGCTTCCTTGTGGAACGCTGTAGTACACAGCT